GTGCACGCTTCGATACACTTTTGAGCTCATACATCAGCTGCAAATATAGTTCTATTTCACCCAGGTATTTTATTTTTATATATTATCTTATTATTTTATCTCAAAATACTATATCAATTTTTTTAAGGAGGATATGAAACATTTTCGACGAAAATTAGCTGTCATTTTGCTTAATTCAGAACCAAATAAGCTAAAAGTATGTCTGATATGCAATCAATATGACGAAGAAGAAACTTTACCTAATTCTCATCTCGAGCTCCTCGAGGATCCACTTGACAGAGACAAAGACAGACGTCCTACCCCAATCCCCATCATGCCCATGAATCAATATGAATTACTTGCCGGCCTCTACAACTACATTATGTCGACCAATGATGCCGGGTGTGTAGGAGTAAGTATCATTTATCAATATGCAATGTGCCAATATACATTATTATTACTCTTACCGTCCAGTTTTCAGGTAGGAATGAGGCATACTTAACATGGAGCGGTCTATGGACAATGATTGTTTCAACATCACCGTGAGTATACTGGCATGTGACGAGGGAGTATTGTTCACATACCCTCCTATACACTATATGGATCTACAATTTTATGTAAGTTATCATATTTATTCATTTAATATTGTTAGTATCAACATGTTTCCAAATAGGATTTTTTACTCAGTACATGATGCTGGATTCAACACGAGATCAAAAGTTTTGCGATAAGGAAACTATTCAGATGTTGGCAACCTTGTTTTTTAGCTGGCCTGGGATAGACAACAACAGTTCATCGTGCAACATGGTAAGTAAGGTATTTTGTCCATTTTTTGTCATGGTTTATTGTTGTTTCTAATAGCTACCACTTGTAGATTTATCATCGACAAAGAGGCACGATGTGTATCTATTCTGGACCCTATTCATACAACACAGTCGTCACAGCTTAAAATTCTGAGGCACTTAGTGAAATTAACAAGTCTTGTGAGGGAATTCAAAGAAGCGCTCGAAATAAAGCAACCAGGATGGAATTCTGATATATCAAAATGGCAACATTTATTTCCTAATGGTATTCCAGCGAGTGTAGACTGGTAATAAATTCAGAATATAAACATTTATTTTTGTTATCGCCATATTTAATGTAATAACAATTTAGTAAATTGTAGGGGTTTGTCTGGCTATTTTGTTTTTCATTTTGTGCTCTCGTGGAATGTTAAAGACCTGGTGAAGCCGGTTTGAATGGTGAGTATTGTCCGTTACACATGTTTTTTTGTATGTTACACATGTTTTTAGACCTTCCACGTGAAGTATTCGTGCTAAGTACATATATTGCTTTTGCCGGATGGGTATAAGTTGAGGAATCAGTTTTTATTATGTTTGCTCAAACATCGTGCCAATTAAGCTAAAGACAACTTTCCTGATATTGTGCAAGAATTTCTTAAGCGCATCAAATAGATCTCAATAATTTGCAATAGATTTTTATTTGGATCATCACTTTATACATATACATTGTCATTTTGCCATTTTCTTATCAGTTTATATTACAAGTGAAGTGGACTTTCATTATTATGCGATCGTGACCATGGTATATTGTCTCTACCTATAAAATTTAACATATTTTTATATATCTTCAACAAAATATTATAGAAGCCCGTGGAGGCGCGCAGGCATTCTACTAGTAGGATTTGTTACAGAGTAAGCCGCGCCATAAATGCTACATTGTAAAACAAAAACGTGAGTATCTTTCTCCAGTCTTCATAGGTTGCCTTCATTTAGGCCAGCTATGATGTCTTTTGTCCTGAACTAGGCATTGATCAGAAGCCCTGCCCAGGATGTTGCCTACAGGAGTTCCCTCTTACAAGTCTCCAATTACTATATAATTTGATTATTATCTAAAGTCTTACAACACGAAGCTGCAAAGTCGAGAGGATAGTGAGAAGGAAACTAATATGAGAATGTCCAAGCAGGAAAGTGTATGAAACATCTTGTTATGGAAGTACTCCAAATGTATTGCCCAATTTCACATTTTATAACATATTATCAAGGCACTAAGGGTGCACTGTATAATGGCAACTATCTAGTCCAACACTGTGTAACTAATAAGTTAGGACGCCATGTATTTTAACCGTTCACAGGTGAGTAAGAGAAAAAAATCAGCAGCCAAACCATCTTAATTGCCCTCTTTTGAGGGAACTTACAACTGGAGAGGCTCCTACAATTGATATATACTAAACTAAAAGAGAGTATTACACATCTACAACTGTTAGCATTAGCATTTCTTTGGCATTACATACTAAAATATGAGCATTAGCATTTTTTTCTAGTGGCATAGGAAATGAAAAAGGAGGATAGATATAGTCATACCCAAAAATAACCACCTTTGGCAAGCAAGTTTTATGACATTTGTAACTCAAAAAGAGCATATAACTCAACACTAGAATTTGGAAATGTTTAATCTTCCTAAGGTCTTGAATAGTGCCTTTGCATAATAGGAGAGTATAATACTGGGCATGCAGCAAAAACACCAAGACGCTCCTAGATCAATGACAGAAACATCAATAACCACCCATTTTTAGATCCAAAGGTCTAAATATAGAAGTGCACATGCAGCAAAAGAACTACACTCCCATCTATTGCAAACATTGGAAACACAGAGCTAAAAAAACTTCTTTCTCGATAAAGGGTGTTTTTTTATCTTTAAAATGTAGCATCAAGATGATACAAAGCCTCATGGTCTATAAAGAGGTATTGGTCTTGTTTATATATCTCCTGATGGTGCTATTTTGTGAAGCCTCATGCCACTTAAAACATTTTTTGTACAATAATCAAAGCCAAATATGCAATGTAATCCGGCTTGGAGCTTTTCGTTGCCATAGGTGCTACACATATTGAGGTTTTTGGTGATTCGTTATGAGTAGTGCAACAAATATCCAAGGTTTATCAATGTTTTGACGAATCACTTCTAGTTTATCTTGAGGTATGACTAGATGTAAATTTTACCTTAAGTTGCTTTAATATTGCTCATATATCTAGACATGACAATTGGAGAGCAAATGAGTTGGCACAACAAGCATCCGACTACCATGTTGATCATGGTATATTGCATATCTATCAATAGCCGATGCTTGGCCTCACCAATATAGGTAAGGCCAAACCGAAGCCCGCCGCTTCAGCCACTAATGAATTTTTTATGCAGGTGAAAGCAAGGATTGTTCATTCTTGACTATCTACAAAATCCTAGCGAAAGAGTGAACAATATGGTCCTGAGGATGGCATTGAGATACATATCTATGGAACTTTATCACCGGATTTTTAATGAAGTTGAGAAGGTTTCACCCAAGTTTGCATCAAGGGTTCAAACAAGTAATGGCCGATAAATACTTATCGCCCTAAGAACGTACGAAATTGCCAATCGAGTGTTCACATCATCCTTAAAAAAAGCTCCGTGCACATTATTTTCGGCACACAAGCTTTGCCCAAAAACAAGGGGGCCATGTGTTGACATCAGATTTTGGCATGGTTACAAACTTAATTAAGATGGTCTCAAATGGAAGAGTTCTCAATGTGTGAAAGTTCCGTACAGTCAAATGAGAAATTTTGATGTTTGGGTCATCACCATCCGATCTCATTTAAAGGGCCGAAAATGTGCTCGAACTACTAAGATTTTGGCACTCAGAGTACTGTTTGGCCAATTACACCTCCAAGACGTACTCATATGAGAAAACTTTCTATATGAATTGTCTTCGTCTTGTCGAAATGGTCGATTTTGATATAAAAACCGTCTTAATCCAAAGTTGTATGCAAAAGTTAAAGCCATTGAAGTGCAACCCTACCACGAGCCAAAAGTGGCGCGTCCCATCACACAGCCATATAACTGATGTCTGATGGGTAGCACCACTGATTGCCTGCTTGCACGAGTGATTCAGCCCTGAATATGACCTCAATCAAAAACGTTCATCATGAAAGTTCTTCGCCTCTTTGAAACGGTTAAACTTTCTTTTGAGCTCATTTTCATCAAAGGTCGTTTGTGGCCAGTAGGATCCAAAAATCGAATTGATGTCTTAGACTTACCTAAATACGAGTTCAGTTGATTTTGGAAGGATTTGGATGAAATTTGAAGTCCTTTTCTTGTATAGGAAGTCTAGCCGCCACATAAACAAATGAAAGGTGACGACCGATTGAACAACATACAATCGACAAAAACATCTACTTTCTATCTTCTCTTCTTAACCCTGATTCTTCTTCTCGTTCTTCGTTTGTAGTGCGGCGACCTCGAGGCCCTAGGGGCGATCAGGTCGACGTAGGGCAGACCATAGCCGTTGCGCGCCCTGGCAGGGTCTTCTCGGGCGTGTGGGGTTTTGGATGTATAAAAAGCGTCAGCCAGATTGCTCGCATATCACACTTCCGGACGGTCTCCTTCGACGTGAGCGTGAGCTATGGTGTATCATCCCCGGCGTCGAGGGTGCACGATGACGTGTTTGTATGCGAGCAATATCCACGAATGGGCATGCTCGAGTGGGAAATGAGAGTGAGAAGCGTTGTGGCCATTAATTGACGCTCTTCCTGATGGATATGGGATATGTAGCTACTGCATTGACAAGCGCAAAAGTGGCAGCCATACGAACAACAACGCCATTGACTAGGCTACACGCAGGAGGAAAGGCCGAGGTGAAACTTCCCTCCAGCTCTAGCTCGAATAGTTCACTCCCCCAGCATTCAAATATGGAGGGTTTGCGGTTGCGGGCGGGATATGGCGCACGCTCCATAAATTATACAGACCGAGAGCTGGACGACGACTCTGTTAGAGTGTGGTTTTCAGCCAAAATCATCGTATTGATACGATTAGTCGATTATTATGGTGATCCGGGCCATATGACGACTCTGCTAGAGCATTAGAGCCGCAGTCGCAGAAATACTGAAACCATGAAGGCTTATTTTCCTCAACTAGTAGAATATATATTTTACAGAGCAACTTCAAGAGACGAATGCGAGGAGGAGGTCGAAGTGTTTCCGGAAATAGGGTCAGTTGCCCCCTCCTGGGCCTCCGAGCGTGAGCACAACATGGTGAAGGTCACTGCCGCTCCTCTCCGGCTCGGACTTGACAAGTCTGGCCGGGAACCCACGCCGAGCATGGTGACTGTAGTCAGGCCGTACAAAGCCTGTGGCCTGCGGCAGCGGTCGGGCGTGAACCGGGAAGGCGTGCTGGTGCTGGGGAGGAATCGCCGAGCTATTGAGAATCTGATGCTGCATTACAGGTCTTGGCGCTGTTACTCCGGGTCCCTGACATTAAAAATGGAATGCCACAACCTCAATAACTTGTAGGTTACATTTGTGATTAGTTCCAGATGGATGGATAAGCTTACAGGAGCGAACAGAACGCCTCTGAAAAGCTGCCCACTGACGACGGCTGTGACCAGATACCCCGAGTCGAAAGCTCCATCAACCGTCCCATGAACCTCAGCTCCAATCTGCAGATCAAACCACCAGACACGATAGCCATCAAGAAACATGCCCACATAAGCTACTACTACTAGCTAGTGTTGTGGAAGGGAGAGAGGCATACAAGAGGTGGGCCGGATGGCCTGTGCTGCTGCTTAGCTTCAGCTGTTAGGAACTGCATTTCGTGTCGTTGCTGCGGTGCAATGCCGCGGACAAACTGGTCAGTCTTGATGCCTCCGCTAGTCCTTCGAGAACCGTTGGCGTTAAGACGAACCAACGGTTGCATTGCTGATGAGATTAACCCGCCTGAAATCATCTGAGCTCCATTCTGCTCCTGATCTTTTTCGGACTGGGAAGGGGACGAATGCTGGGACAGCGATAGTGAGTGCTCCTCCTGCTCCAACTCCATCTCATTTGGACCAGCATCTCCAGTTTTTCTTCTTTTCACATGCCCATTTTCTAAACATGTGAACCAACAGATTATCGATAATAAATGCAAGACTTGACCAATATATAGGAATTGCTTTGGCAAGATGAGATATTCACTTACCTAGACCACGGAGGAAAGGGTTTCTAATTTGCTCAATTTCTGCTTCTCCAGGTTTATGACCGAGTTCCCGGTTGCTTGGGCTTGCATCCTTGTGCTGTAGTACCATACCATATTGTGTATCACATAGAGTATGTGTTTGCATACTAATAAGAATCCCTCCGTACCATATTAAATGTCGCTAATTTAGCACAAAGTTGTACTGCTAAATCAACGAGAATTAATTAATTAATATGGAATGGAGGGAGTAAAAGGGTTAAGGTACTCACGTGTTGTGCTCTCAACAGCTTGCGCTTCTCCTGACTCCAGTGGTTGCTCAAAATCTTGCACATGGAGATGTTGTATCGGCCATTTGGATGCCCAGAGCCTAATTGCAGAACGAGTAGCTCATTCAGGGGCCGTTCATCTTCACCGCATCTGTGCAATTTCAAGGTATGCCAAATTGGTGGTACTGAAGCAAGTAGAATGTACTTATTTGTTTGTGCAAGAAAGATTACCCTCCATAGATTGCAATATCAGTATTCATGATGACTGCTGAATGAGAAAACCGGCCCTGGGGTTGCTGCCCGCACGTCTCAAGTTGAGTCCAAGACCGATCAACCACATCAAGAATCCATGCATCACTGTAGTATTGCTTATCACCAACTCCTCCAATTACATAGATCTATATATACATACAGATAAGCTTTAGTAGTACTTATTTAGGATGATTTTTTTTTTGCGAAATAGGATGATTTATTTCTTCACGGAGTAGTAACGTTTCAGTACATGGTGCTGACCTTAGATCCAATGCCAAGGGCTGCATGACCTGCCCGGACACCAGGTGAGGCTCCTTTTACTGAAAACTGTCAAGCAACGAAATGAACATAAATTCATCTACCCTACGCATGCATCTGTCGGATGCAGAGGCCGGGGGCGATCCTCCTTCTTCGAAAAAAAAGAGATAAAAAAAAGACATGACGATTACCCTTGACCATGCCATGGTGTCCATGTCGAGCACGTCCACCTCGCCGAGGTAGCGGTCTCCGCAGTCCCCTCCGTAGACGAAGAGCCTGTTGCCGACCGTGACGGCGCCGTGGCTGTCCCTGGGCGCGGGGACGACCTCGCCGGTGACCCGTGGCGACGTCCACGTCATGGTGGGCAGGTCCAGCACGTGCACGTCGTTGAGGTAGTTCCCCTCCCCTTCCCCGCTCCCGCCGAAGACCACCAGCTTGTCGCCGCCGGCCGCCGTGGTGACGGTGTGGCTCTCCCTTGGCGAGGGCGGGGTCCCCTTGCAGGGAGGCCTGCTCCACTCCTTGGTGCGTAGGTCCAGCACGTGAAGGTCGTTCACCTTCTTGTTGCCGTTGGTGCCGCCGAAGACGAGCATCCGGTGGCCGATGAGCGCGGCGCCGTGGCTGTCCCGTGTCCCGGGCCTCTGCCCCTTGGTCGCCAGGGAGCTCCACGCCATTGTGTCCAGGTTGAGGGTGAGCACGTCGCTGAAATGCAGGCCGCCGCAGCATCCCTTGGATGAAAGAAAAGTAAATTTCAGAGTGCTTCACTGGGACTGGGAGTGGCAACATGACAAAACAAAGAGAACCCCACAGGATTATTATTACTCCGTATTAAGTAACACACCAAAAAGGGCATTTCTTCCTGCCCAAAAAGAGACTGCAACCTAGAGTGTCTTGATGGTTATTTTTTTTTATTCTAAACGAAAAGAAGAAGACGCTGGGCCAGTCAAGAGAAACTAGTCTACCTCTAGCAGCAAAATGGAACTGACGAACTAGCTAGCAAACCCAAGAGATATATTATATACATACATACATACCCCGAAGACGTAAATGACTCCCTCGAAGAAGCAGGCGGAGTGCCCCCATCTCTCGGGAGGGTTGAAGCCGACCACCTTCGGGTACAGCCACATTGCCTTCCTCCTCCTCTCCATCTTCTTCTTCTTCTTTGATTCTCCCTCTCTCTGACTCTGTGTGTGTGTTGGTGAGACGAGGACCAAGGAAGGAGGAACCAGCAGGAGGAGGATATGGAAAGAGAAAGAGGGGGAGGTGGAAGAAAAATCGCAACAAATAGTCACACCATAGGAGAGGAGAGGAGAGGAGAGGAGGTCCCTGTTGCTGATGCGATTTGCCACAAAGCGGAGGGGAGCTGAGCTAGTGAGGCATCACAGATCAATCAATCAATCCATCCATCCATCCATCACTCGGACAGTCATGGACAGGAAAAGATGGGTGCCCCTCAATTCATGTCCAAGGTTTGCAGCTCACTGTCACCAGTCCACCGCCACCCACTCACTCACTCACTATGCCAGCCCAGCCAACGATCAACGATGGATGGATGGATGGATGGCACATCACACTGCTATACTCGCCCGCCTAGGAGTAGGAGTAGGAGGAGTAGTGGTAGGAGTACCGACGGGCGACGGGAGCTGGAGTGGTGACTGACCATGACCATGCACAAGAGGCAAAGTGTTTATGATGCCGTATCGTCGCCGCTCTAGTGAGCACGGCATCTATACGCAGAGAGCGTGTGTGCGTGGGGAAGCGTGCGCATAGGAATGTGTGGCGGACACAGCAAGAAAGAAAGGAGTATCTAATTCAGCGAGCACTCCTATACGGTTTGGCTTGGTTTCTCTATCTTCCTCTCTTGGCGGGGGCGGGCATACACGACGCACCAAACGCCGTTGCTTGCTTTCCTTTCGTTGGAGGATGGACTAGTCACTAGTACTAGTCTAGCTGAAAATGATGTGTAGTGGGAGGCTCATTGGGGTGTGTGCAATGGGCACGGAGAGGCGTGTCACCCATGGGGTTTGCTGCTGCTCCGGATTCCCAAGCTGGATCCCTGGAAATACAGTAGTATCACATTTCTTTTCTCTTGGGGATACATCCTCCAACAGCTTTTGCATTATGTGTCGATGCTATATTTCTTTTATCTTGCATCAAGATTCATACATGATTTTTTTTTTCTTTTTTCATATACCGTCTCACTTGATGAAGACTTGGTTAAGTCTCAGTCGATTAAAACTTAGCCACACCCATCCTCGAATGTCGTGGTGTTCATCCTTCACGGCGATGAATTGCTTCGCTACAACCACTTAACACATCAATATATAAGATCTCTCATATTCGTAATAATGGATAGGATGGTATTTCTAAAAATACGTCATCCATGTCAAAAGCGCCTTGTGTACGTACGCCCATACCCAAAGGGGCGCCTCTCGAGTGGGCCGGTCCACTGGTTGCACTGCGCAAGCACGCCTTTGTTGGTGTAAAGTTAAATGCCGAAAAAGAGAAGTGCCTGGGAATCGAACCCTAGACCTCACAAACGTTAAAGGGGGTACAATTTTAGTGGAGCCAACCAGCCCAAGTCATTAATGAGCCGCGCAAAATTATAGCAACCAGTGCTGGATCCTTTAAAATATTTTTTTTGAAACTCTAAATAAATTTTAAATTTTATGAATACGCAAACATTTTTTGGGAATCTCAAAAAAATTAGGAAAAACAGGAACAAATGGAAAACGCGAATATTTTACTAAATTATGAGCAATTTTATGAAAACGTGAATGTTTTTTGAGAAATAGGAACATGATTTAAAACATTAACATTTTTGAAATTATGATTTTTTTAAACATCAACATTTCATGAAACTCCCCATTTTTTTGGAATTTTCAATCAAATTTTGCAAAACATTAACATTTTCTGAATTTGTGAGAAAATTATTAAAAGGGGAACATTTTTTCAAATTTCTAGAAGGAAAAATTTGTGAAATTTTGTGATTATTTTTAAAATTTCGGATTCTAAATTTCATTGAATTTCCAAACATTCTTGTAATTTAAAATTATATATTTCTTTGAATTTTTGAACATTTTTCGAAAAGAATTGAGCAATTTTTTAAAGTCATTTTATAATTTTCTAACATTTTATAAAATTCAAATTTTGGAGTTTCTAACAAAAAACAAAACAGAAACATTTTTTGAAAAATTGAACAAATTTTAGAAAATATGAAAATTTTAAAAAAATTCAGAACAACTGTTGGAAAAGGAAAGGAAAATGAAAATAAGATAAAAAATAATATCAAGGAAAACCAAAATCTCGAAAAAGGAAACAAAAAGAAAAAATAGTATTGATTGGGCCGGATAGCCCCGGGGCGCTTCCAATAGGAAGAGGAAACATAAGAGAGAGAAAATTATGCGTGCAATGTGAATTGAACTAGTGTCCTCATGTTTTGTCAACCATTGCACTAACCAATCGGCCACTTAGGAAGGTCTGACAAGCTACATATTTTCTTTTTATATATTGTTTTATTTTTCCTTTTTTCATTATTTTCTCTTTTTTCTTCTTCCTTGTTTGATTTTCTTTTCAGTTCATGAACTCTTTTCAAATCGATGACTTTTTTTTCATTTTTGCATGAACTTTTATCATTTGAAAAAAATTTACAAATACGAAAAAATTATCGAATTTAAAAAATGTTCACAAATTTGAAAAAAGTTCATCAAAATTTATAAAAGTTCATCAAATTTAGACAAAATTTATTGAATTTGAAAAATAAAGTTTTCCAATTTTAAAAAAGTCCATCAAATTTGAAATCATCGAATTTTAAAAAAAATCATCACATTTGAAAAAAGATCGTTGATTTAGAAAAAATGGTCGTCTACTTTTTTAAAAGGAAAATCATCTATTTTGAAAAAAAACACGAATTAAAAAAAGTATGCAATAAAAATAGAAAGAAAAAAATAATGAATAAAACCGTCTCGGAAGTGACCAGTGAACCGGGAAAAAACCAGTTTGAGAAAAAAACCCGAATAAAACTGGAGGATTCCCGTGACCGAGGAGACAAATTTGCTCCATGGTGGATAGGGACGACACAATCCTTGATAAACGGCCCAAATCCACCTCCTTTAAACCATTGGAAGAAATAGTTAAATTTCAAGTTCACCCGATGGACCCCAAGAAGACAACTTTCATCGGAGAATGCTACCTCTTGAGCATGCATTGGTTTTCCCTTGAAGAGGAAAGGGTGATGCAGCAAAGTAGCGTAAGTATTTTCCTCAGTTTTTGAGAACCAATGTATCAATCCAGTAGAAGACTACACGCAAGTCGCCTAGTACCTGCACAAACAAACAAGAATCTCGCAACCAATGCGATAAAGGGGTTGTCAATCCCTTCACGGTCACTTACGAAAGTAAGATCTGATAAAGATAATAAGATAAATATTTTTGGTATTTTTGTTGTATAGATTGAAAAGTAAAGATTGCAAAATAAATAGTAAACTACAATTGTAGATCGGAAACTTATATGATGTGAAGTAGACCCGGGGGCCATAGGTTTCACTAGTGGCTTCTCTCAAGATAGCATATATTATGGTGGGTGAACAAATTACTGTCGAGCAATTGATAGAAAAGCGCATAGTTATGATGATATCTAGGCATGATCATGAACATAGGCATCACGTCCGTGTCAAGTAGACCAAAACCATTCTGCATCTACTACTATTACTCCACACATCAACCGCTATCCAGCATGCATCTAGAGTATTAAGTTCATAAGAACAGAGTAACGCATTAGGCAAGATGACATGATATAGAGGGATAAACTCAAGCAATATGATATAAACCTCATCTTTTTATCCTCAATGGCAACAATATAATACATGCCTTGCTGCCCCTACTGTCACTGGGAAAGGACACCGCAAGATTGAACCCAAAGCTAAGCACTTCTCCCATTGCAAGAAAGATCAATCTAGTAGGCCAAACCAAACTGATATTTCAAAGAGACTTGCAAAGATAGCAAATCATGCATATAAGAATTTAGAGAAGAATCAAATATTATTCATAGACAATCTTAATCATCCCGGGTTAATAGGTTAGTCCCAAAAATAATATAAAAGTGCATATTAAAGCCCATTAAACATCAAAAAGAGATAATATAATAGCATGGAACAATCAAAAATTATAGATACATTGGAGATGTATCAACATCCCCAAGCTTAATTACTGCTCGTCCTCAAGTAGGTAAATGATAAAAACAAATTTTTTGATGTGGAATGCTTCCTAATATAATTATCAATGTAATTTTCTTTATTGTGGCATGAATGTTCAGATCCGAAAGATTCAAGACAGAATTTTAATATTGACATAAAAACAATAATACTTCAAGCATACTAACCAAGCAATCATGTCTTCTCAAAATAACATGGCCAAAGAAAGTTATCCCTACAAAATCATATAGTCTAGCTATGCTCTATCTTCATCACACAAAATATTTAAATCATGCACAACCCCGATGAAAAGCCAAGAAATTGTTTCATACTTTTGATATTCTCAAACTTTTTCAATCTTCACGCAATGCATGAGCGTGAGCCATGGACATAGCACTATAGGTGGAATAGGATGGTGGTTGTGCAGATGACAAAAAGGTGAAGATAGTCTCACATCAACTAGGTGTATCAACGGGCTATGGAGATGCCCATCAATAGATATCAATGTGAGTGAGTAGGGATTGCCATGCAACGGATGCACTGGAGCTATAAGTGTATGAAAGCTCAATAAAAGAAACTAAGAGGGTGTGCATCCAACTCGCTTGCTCACGAAGACCTAGGCCATTTTGAGGGAGCCCATCATTGGAATATACAAGCCCAGTTCTCTAATGAAAAATTCCCACTAGTATATGAAAGTGACAAAATAGGAGACTCTCTATCATGAAGATCATGGTGCTACTTTGAAGCACAAGTGTGGAAAAAGGATAGTAGCATTGCCCTTCTCTCTTTTCTCTCATTTTTTTATTTGGGCATTTCTCTCTTTTTTATGGCCTCTTTTTCTCATCCGGAATCTCATCCCGACTTGTGGGGGAATCATAGTCTCCATCATCCTTTCCTCACTGGGACAATGATCTAATAATGATGATCATCACACTTTTATTTACTTACAACTCAAGA